AGTGTTTCAAGAGCATTCACAGACAGTCAACAACGAACTTCACGACTTACGTATCGAATCCGTGGTTTTATAAACTGAACCTTTCATATGCCAATCAAAATTACCTTGTGAAATATCCAAAACATCCTACTTCTCTTCTCATTATCTTTCTCTAATCAGAACAAGTGCTACTTTGTATTCGAAACATACACGAACCATATTACATGGAGTGTTTTCTCCGCACCAACCACGCACGGTGTAGGAAATGAATTCGGCTTTATGCTGACAATGTGATATTCCTGTAAATTATTTTCGAAAAAAGACCATATTGCCAAATTGTATGATTTCGCTGCATCTCAATATAGTGCATACTGCAGAAAATGTATGAAGCTTTAGCGTGGCAATAAAGCAAAATAAAATACATTGAAACAGACAGCATACAAAAGGGGGCGGGGAGGAGTAAAAGGACCATGTCACCAGGGTAAGGATAGACTAACATAAATTATTTCGTTCACTTATTCGGATTTTTTAACGGTAATATCTATTTTCCATCCTCACGTTCGGTTGATATTTTATGCTGAATCTTCCCCGATAAACGAACTTTTGGTTTATACTTCTAATAGAAATATTCGAAATTAGACGTGTATACTCGATTGGTAATGCATTTTTTCACATGAGATTTCTTGAACATAAAACTCCGTTTTCATTGCTACCAATCTTGCATTATGCAAATGCATGCATACATCAGAGTAAATAAGAATCTAACACATTTGCCTGTCTCAACGGACTGCAGCCCGAATGCATTTAACGACGTTTTCTACGTAGCATTATGTGTAAACCTACATCGATATCGCAACTGGAGGGGTAGATATCACTGCTAGAGTATACGGTCTTTCGCCGACTGAGGTGTTTTGAGAATGCTCTCCTAATCTCGGTTCTTATCATCCAGCCAACAGGAGCAGACTTAATCTCGCGTTCTGACCACCCTCAGTCTCCTGTTGGCACGAGCCTCAAACAATCAGAGCGTCAGTTTGCTACCTGGTATTTACCTCTGCGGTGGACTGGAACCCACCATATCGCAATCAACCCTAGGTGATGGGATGGAGTCCATAACTGGCCTCGCATTAATTTGCTCCAAGATCGACGTCCAAGACACCAGCCCCTACCTGCGGATCAATATCGTCAAGTTATCACAACCCGGCCCACTAACTCGGTCATGCCAAGAAGGTTAATTGATTATTGTAGCTGTTCCAAAGGATTGCTCACTCTTCTTGTGTCACAACTTGTGGTTTGATCAACGGTATGCAACTACTTGCATTTATTTCTGTCTGGTGTACGCTACGTTTCTCACTGGGTCTAGATCGCTTGAGGTTTTCCGTTTGGGAGCCCGTGGCCAACTTTATCCATGGTTAGGGATGCTGAGTGTCGTAAACAATAACACTCGTGCATTTGCTCGCTTTCTACACAGACCTAGTTTGTTCGCTTTTTGACTCTTTATTGTGATCGATCGAATGGATAACCTAAAGACGGCCATCTAAACCGTTGCACAACACACAAAGGTAATGGTTGTGCGAACCGAAACACTATCCGGAATAGGTTGTCATCTTTGAATGAGTTTTCGTTCTTTCAATAATCAAAATTAGAGGACCTACAGTTTTGGTAATTGCTCCATGTTCTTCTGATGTGTTTTTATTTCCTGCAATCCGGGATCAGTAAAGGAAGAAATAAATCATCTTCAAGATCATCGTGATGCGCATTGCGTGCTACATTTTTTATCACACAATTAACCAATACAACATTTCGTTTTTTTATGATACGTAAACACGGGAATCTGCGTCTTCGAAGTTTCGCCTAGAACGAGGCTTCGAAAACGAGTACAACCTACCATAACTGCATTACGTTGTCGCCTTTTTTGATAACTAACACGTAACTGCCTTGATGAACAAAGCGCTGATGTTTTTTTTGTAGAATCAGATTGCATTTCTGCCAGCAGATTGCTACAGTTCATTCTTAGTGTCCCCATAGTGGTCATTACTTATTCTCCCAGTGTACTTGCTAACCACCAGGTAATGGAAAGATTGTCCTGTGTAATGTTATGATTTTTGTTCTTTATGCAGCGAGCATCCGTTTTTAAACTCTAAAATATCACTTTATCAAACGAATCGACTGCGTTCCGTTTTCTTCGGTTCTATTGGTTATTAGACCAGGAATAGGCGAGCTACGGTTAAGGCATAACTGATTGTGGTTGCTAAATGAATAAAAACAGTCCAGTCACCAAAGTTCACCTTACTAAACTCCGACCCAAGCCAATCAACAAATTTGGCTTTTCGAATGGGCACACGATCCACGTAATGATAAGTGTATCGCCTGAAGTACATCGTATGCACGGGACTTGACCTTGGTAGTAGTTATGTGGTAATCTTTGGTGATTGAGCTACCAATACTGTTCGAGCAACTGCGACCAGCCTTTCTTTAGCTGTAACGCACAGCAAACAGTGCGTCAGCTTAGCTATCTCACGCGAATCGCTGTGCTTCACCGAATCGTCGTCCGTCAGCGAGCTCGACAAGAGGCCTCATTTCAACACAGAAAGAGCGTGATAAGACAGCTGGTCAAATAGGGATCAGAAAAAAACGTATGATCGACTGACTAATGAATTGTGCTAAACGGAAGAGTATACAACCACAGCGTCTCAATTCAAAGTGACTGTTTTCCAATTCAACGTGAGAGTTCATCTTAGCAAACCTGAAAATGATGTAGTCTCAAAGGTACTTCTCAATTTTCCGAATGCAAGGCTCAGTTCGATAGGACTTTTACCCCTAGCTCGAACACGCGTTCTGTGGTCTGATTCATCCCCACAAAGCGCCAAACTCTAAAGGTTTTTCCATGGCTCTTCTAAATTCCTGGTATTCGATTGATAAGGGAACGGGAAACTAAAATTTGGGCTACACAAACAGTCCTCTCCTGTGTGTGGAGGTGGGTGGGTGGTAAATCAGGAGTTACCCGGATCATCAGGACGGTCTCAAACAACTAGTCTATTTGATTTGGTTACCTTATTTTCTCGTTTCTCTTCAGCTTTGCAATGTGTAATGTCTTGCGAACAATTTTCTGGTTTAAATTTCAGTTTTATAGATCTCTTCCCAAGGAATAGATTTGTTGGTCTTGAGTTCGCCGATGATATTGTCTTACTATGTGAATGCATGCAAGCGATGAAACCCGACTGAACCACCAGGCGATTGATACAGTATTGCATGGTGTGTAGTTTGCTCCCAATGGGTGCAAAGTGCTTTCTGTGGACTAGCATAACCTTGTCCGTAGGATCACCCTCGCTGGAGAGCAATTGTAAGTGGCCGACCTCTTTTTTGCCTTGTTAGTAGCCTAGTAACTCGGTGGCACTAGAGGAAGGTCACGTCACATATAGTAAAGCCCAGTTGGCATTCACTATCCCTAGCCATCTCTTGTACCGCCGTGCCATCCGTCTCTCTCCCTCCCATAGTAGGAAGCTCATCGGTCTAAGCTTGATGAGTCTAACCCCTTTGATATGTTCGCTCATCAAATTTCTGTGCGCGAAAATTACTGCCTCCGAACTAATTCATGGGCTTCTGTTGGCAATAGCACATGCACAATATTCGAATATTCGATGACGTGCACTTCGTGGAAATAGTGGTCCCCAAGCTAGAATAATTGCATTAAAATAGCTTTATGCTACGCATGGCTGTCCACCGAATTCCTCACCGATGGCTGTTGACCGTTCTTAAGCCTGGCTGGGAGAAGGTACGCGGACAGCAGTCCGTAACTCAACCTGGGGGTTAAAAAGAGGGATGCATAGGCATTGGAGTCAATGGTTTCATCCTAATTGTTCCACAAAAGATGCTGAATGTCTTTCGTTAGAAACTTCGAGAAATAGAACAAAAGCCGAGGAATATAAAAAATGCTTCTGGTGTTAAGCCTCTCCTCCAGCACTCATGTTTATTACCTTTCCATTCTTCTGTATGCAGTGCTCGCACCTTACCTGATTCAGACCAGTGATTGGGTATATGATACAAAATCCAGGGAGTGTTATGGTTCATTAAGCTTACTTTCCGACTTAACCTCCTTACTGGTGGGTAAACAGTATTCATCGGTAGTGCTAGAATGTTCTACTTTTGTTGGTCATCCAAACTGCTTTTCAACGGGCGGCCATGGTCAAGCGGTATAAAACGATCCTTAAGCCATGTTCTTGAATCCGATCTCTGCCGCCTAACTTCTTCATTTCACCGACAGACCACGGGTCTGTTTAAGATTCCTTATTCGGATATCAGCATAAGAAATTATACATGAAGAAATGAACTCTTAAAAAATACCTACATGAGAGAAGAGGATGACTTGATTCCATTTTATGGTGGATTTTGTAGTGCTGCAGAGTAGTACCGATATGAGCGAAATGTGATGCCCGCAACAAACGTACAAAAATGGGTTGTGCTACGTGGGGTATGTATTCAAAACGAATGCCGCTCTAATCATCAGCCCGGTGGTCAAGTGGGTGTGTGTGCTTCTGTTCTCCCTTCAGTGAACTCCATTGTTTGATCCTCTGTTGAATTGATAGATTTGGATTGCTGAAGAGACACAATCAGTTCGAAGTAACTGTTCAGTGCCTCTAAGTTTTCAGGTCCCACCACGGTTTCCCTCTGCACGTGATGAAATACATTATTAATTTGAACTAAACATCTTTCAGATCGCATCTTCACACCCAATCCTCAGTTCATTCAGACAAACGTACATTCAGTAACAGATAGATTCGAGTTTTACTTTCAACCGAGCTCATCAGTAGAGCGTATCCATTGTCCGGTCTGGGCTTTGAACTCCAAGCACATCTCATGTAAGACGTGTTGCCGCTATGCAACCCCACTCGCAACAGATCTGACCATCATTGCCAATTGGTGTTGGTTAATATGTCTTCTTGGCTCATCAGAAACGAGAGAAAACAGTATACTATCCGTTAACTTCAGTAAAAGAAACCTCTCACCATGTTAGGTCTACGTTTTAAGTTTGGGTGTACTGTCCCAGTTAAATATACTGTTCTGCATTTTGTTGCTGTCAGGTCAAAAATGAACTGGCTTACTATCATCGAGGGTTACACCTGAACAAACAGAAAAATCAGCTGAAATCTGCTCCGTTTATCCCACATCACAAGTAACTGTGTTACATGTGAAATCTATTGTATAATATGACTCCAAATCGGAATATCAAAGAGCTTTCATGTCTGTCTTGTAGCTTTATTCACGAACCTTAAATTTAGATAACTGGGATAATCAAATCAACGTCATCTATTCCCCCAAAATTGCCGTGCACACAATTGCTTAGTCCTTCTTTCCCTCCCTTCCCCGTCACTCTCATTGTATCTACGAGAGATAACTCGACGAGCAACAAACAGTACAGCCGGTGCAGTTTTTCTCTTTAGTTCGTACTTAGATTTTATTCGAAGTTCGTTTACGATGTTCCAAGAGATCACCCATTTCGGCCTTTATATCGGCCTCTCCAGAGATAGCTCCGCTTTTAGTGCACAAAAAGTAAAGCATTTCCAGATACCATAGGTGGAAGGAGCGATTCGTGTTGGCGAAGCGGCCCATTGTGTTGTTAGGTTAAGTACCGATCACATGCAATTATAGTGGAATAGATGAGGTATTCTTCCAGGTCACGGAAAAGCCGATGACCTCTAAACAAAGTTGATAGTGATCCTGGCGGTCAGGCGATTAAGGTTGTTGTCACTGTGTACTTGTTTTCTAAAGCTTGTAGGGTTCGAACTCCACCATCGTCTCCTGACGTTAATGGTAGATAGCTTCATCCAGCTCGATGCCAGCTTATCTTATTGTGGCTTTGTGCAGTTTGTCGCCCTAGGTCTGAGAGTTTAGGTAGCCAGTTCTCGTGGGTGAATAATTGGTTCTCGTGACTTCTGTATTGGCCCATTCTTCTGTTCATTGTGGAATGGTATGACAAAAAAACAAGGCCAGACAAACTAGCTCAGCTGGCGGTTATGGAAACAATTATTGAACAGTGTCTGCTTTATTTAGTTCGCCGGTTCAACCGAAAGGCTACGGGCTGTTGAAATGATGACAGTTGACTCCCGCGAGCCAGTGGTTATCCCTTAAAAGTTCATCCTCTAGCGTAAAATTAGAAAACCACCTGTCCCTTCCTGCCTGCATCACCCTCGGCTTGTCCCTCCTCCACTCTTGGTCTACGACACTCAATTTGCTCAATGCTTGCACGTTTGAGGCTTACTTTGTATGCATGAATGGATAAGAACCCTGTTAGGCTTCTTCAGCAGAATTCAGTTTCGTCTATCCCTTCGTATGTTTTTTGGTAATCACTGGCTCTCTCTCTTTCAATGATTTATGCCCATGTGCTGGTGAACTTCCCATCCGCCGTTTATATTTTAGCTGAACCGGTTAATCGTGATTTCCAGTTTAACGGCAGTTTCGGACTGAAATCGCTTTGGCTATCTCTGGTGACTGACTCAGTTGATTACATTTTCTGCGCTTATTTCATGAGGTTTTGTATCAGTACTTAAGACGATACGCTTGTTGTGATTGGTGCCTTTCTACATCAGTTACTCTTGTTCATTTATTGTCTATGTTCTTCTCAGTTTCAAGGATCCGGATACACACCAGCCAACGAGGAGATCGATCGGGCTGCCAAAGAAGCTGTCGTTCAAATGCTAGAATCTCTCCGTACAGATGTGAATTCAATTAAACTCAATCAAGACTATGTTTTTTATCCGCGCACCTCCGCTCAATTGGGTTTGTCTGGATTGCAACCAGTCGCAGACTATTCCACTGCTGTATCCGGTCCTGCGACATCGACTGCTCTTCCAGTCTCAGCGGGAACAGCTGCTGGCACACTTCTGACGACACGTTCGTCTCAGTGTTCATCCAATTTACCCAGCGTTGTTTCTCATAGTATCAGTAATCAGACTGCTCCGATTTCAGTATCTTCAGTGGGTCCCTCCTTGGTACCTGGTGTTCGACCAATGCCCGGATTAATTCCGGCTTCAGGTTCTGGTGTGTATTTTGACGGGAATGCTGCGGTGACCAACTTAGAAGAGGTACTGCCCATTGATCGAATGGGACACCCGGGTAGCGGCGCCGCTCAAATCCAAATAGATGAATCTGGAATGTTGCGCGAGTCTTCATTTGGCGGTGCTATGTTGGACGGGGCATTGGGATCGATAGACACTGGTTAGTGATTAAATAGTCGGTCCATCTTTTGTATAGTTGTAGTGAACTTAATTTGAGTGCCTATGTTCACTTTCAGCTTGTACAACCATTAACAATGCACTTTCGTGCGTCGGTTTTGGTTGCTGTCTTTTGGCTTCCCATTGAGATGAAGCAGTAGGAGAAAGACAGAAAAGTTGAATTTGCTTGATCAGCTTTTTATCGTAAAAGTGCAAAACTTGCTGAGTGCCAACACAAAATAGAGGCATTTATTTATCTAGTATTGGTAATACGATCACTCATGATCTACTTTTTTGCAAACATTGAGGAACTTTGACCTGTTTCTAAGAATGAATTTGCTTCTACATGTCAAGCGACAATGCTGCCTTCTCCCGTTTAAAAGTAAATTTGACACTGTGAATGTTCTACGGAATGCTTTGTCTAGTCTAGCAAAGTGTAGAGTTGAGCTTATCTCATGAACAGGTTTTGATTGAGAATATGCGAATGACATTGCCTTGTTCGATGACAATAAACAGACAGTCCAACTTACTTTGAGCTGTTTGGCGATCGGGTATTTACTTAAGATCTTTGCTTTGCACTACCCGAATGCAAAATGTTTGTATAAGACTGGCTGGATCAGTTGCCTGTAGTCCCCGTTCATGGTGATCAAATACAAATAGTCGGGAGCTTGATCGCAGCTGAAGATGGCGTTGAAGAAACCACATCAGGAATAGCAAAAGTCAAATCGACTTGAGCCAACCCGTGACTCCTTTGACGTCGATATGACTTACGACTTCCCTTGAAGGATAGGCGCCAATTACCGCGGTTCGTAGTGCTTTTCTTTATCGTTGCAAGACCTACCCTCCACGCGGATAATTCTAGTCGACGCTCGAAGCATCGCTCGTTTCTGGTTGGGACATCGTTTGATTATTGACGAGGTTCGTTGTCGTATGTTGAGTGCTGATTGAGGCTTCGAAGCAGTGACTTAAATACCACCGTCCCCCGTCGCTAGGTAGCACTTTTCATGTGTCTGCGTATCACCTATCTTTCTATACTCTATTTGCAATTTTTGAGAAGGATAGAAAAAGCGATACGACGGTGAAACCATGACTTATCTTTGAAATATGAAGAAGTTAGCTTCAGCCTAGGTTTGGGCCCATCTTCCACGTTGGGACCTATTGGATGAGGATTGTCGTTTGATAGCGATGCAAGTAAAAATGGCTCAGGATTATATATATATATATATATATATATATATATTACAATGAACAGTGTGATAGGGAGATAGACAAAGTCAAAGTGAACACCGTTGTATGACATCTTATTTTCAGCTGATTTGACAAAGCGCATCTTTTCAAATCAGAAGTTTCAAAACAGTTTCGTGCCAAGGGCAATGCAGACTGCTTTTCATTTTAACATGTAAAGTAACCAACCCGAAAATTACTTCCAGTCTAGTATTCGATTTCATTGTTTCTTTTCCCCTCATAGATTTTAGTGGTGATCAGGAAGTTCGAACTGAATAGCACGTCGGTACTACACACCTATAAGAGGATTGTGAGGTTCATAACCAGGTAGCGCATCACTGGTCATCTGTGATGGTACCAAAACTCGAGTACAGCGCTTCCGGAATATAGCGTTGACTGCGGTAAATGATTGTATATGAAAGTACAATATAAGGAATACTCAGTCCGTATCAAAGGCTTTTAATACCGTCGAAATGTACACTCACGTTTTAGTTCCATCGGTAGTGTTTCGAGGATGCACCCTATTTAACCTAGTACCAACTTCCTTTAGCATGGTTTCAGACGCTTACGGTGCTTGTAAACTAGAATCAATACTCGTCCTTGATCCTGCTTTACGTAGTGGGAAGAGCAGGATTATCGTGTTGCATACTGTCATTCGAAAGTGACAGTCCTGAAACTCTTCATACCTGGCTTTTCCTTGTGGTGACGGAGATGATCTAGTTTCTATAAATAATGCTGCTTGGAGGATATGTACTGCATAATCATTATAGGCGTTATTCTGCTATGGTATGCCATCTTCATAATCGCTATTCATAACTTTATTTTACTATTTGCTTGCAGCACGTGATGACGAAGACGAATTCAGCGACGCTTCCCGACCTCTGTCGCCCGTCGATGGATCAAATCAAATGATGCCAACCCAGTCTTTTCAGCAACTCTTCGCAAGTGGTCTAGACTTAGACGGCATGTCCAGGAGTACTCAACAGACCGCCTATACATCCGCTACCTCATGCAGCAGCTCGAGACAGATTAATGACCCGATACACGGTGTTCTGGGCGAGAACGTTGATTCAACAGCAGCAAGACGCCCGTTTATGCCCTTTGGCATCACTAATATGGGTGAATTGTTGTCACTTGCCGCCAAGCACACTGATCCTGGCAATACCGCGGCAAATGGGTTTCAGATCGGTCTTGAAGAAGTACCACCATTGGCCCCTGGTGTACCTCCTGTAGATCCAGGTTATCTTCAACCATCGGATTCCATGATGCCAAATGAATTCGGTGCCTACGATCCTGTGTCGAATCCTCGAATGGATAACCCCTCGCATCCTTCATATGAAGTCAATTCTGGTGTAGTTTCTCAGCTGAGTCATGTATCTTCAGTCAGTCAGGGTCGTGTATGCCCCAGTCAACCTTATTGTACTAGCACACCTGATTCGGATTCTATGGTTAATCTTACTTGTACGATTCCTGCATCACTAGAGGCATTATTGCGAGATATTACCTGTCGACTGTGCAGCAGTCCTTCACGGCCGTATATTCTCCTGCCTTCATCGGATAGTTCATCACACGATGGGACTGTCCAAATGAATTCCATGAGAATTCTTGAAGTTCCAAGTGGGCACATTTTTCTAGGCATGCCAGAGTTGAAATCCCCTGGTCAGGCGAGCAGCTCATACAGTTTGACTACATTTCGTGCTCCGATTGAGCCCACTTTTGTCGTCCTCAACGGAATAAGTTCCGACGGTCGGATGACTGGCCCTCATGTGTACAAAACCCCATCGGACTGTGCCGTTGTACTCTCGCCTAACGGGGTTGTTCATCGCCTGGATAAAGCTGCCCTAGTGGTTCCCGTGGCACCAAACGACGCTCCCCGTACTTCCACTCCACCGCTGTCTCCTGGGTTTGAGACAGGGATGACTCACAATGTGCCAAACACATCTGTCCAAGTTCGAGAACTGCCCATTCAGACCAATGTGGACACCTTAACCTTTGATGACGTGCTGAATTTACTACTGGCTCTGCGTAGCACATCACAACCTTCGATTCCACATAGATCTAATACAACTTCCCCAACCATGGAACCACATGCGTCTGTTCATCCACTGACCCTAGTGTCTACTGAAAGTCAGCCGATATCAACCAACACTAGTCGGCGCTCATCCGCTGTTCCCGGATTACATTGTGTAAGCTCTGCCCATTCTATCCATAATCTTTTGCCCACGCAAATGCTGCAACAGCAAGCTCACACTGTTACTGGTTTTAATCAGTTACAATCACATCCAGCTGGAGTAGCACACCGGGGTGCCCCTCATTTCCAGACTGCTTCTCTCACTGGATCCGCATTTCATCCAGACAGCCACTATCAAACATCCCAACTTACCGGAACACATATCCCATTCCCCATTCAGTCGCAAGTTTCCACCCCATCAGAGTTACCTGGTAACCTGTTAGGATCGGCATTTGTTACTCACACTCAAAGTGTTCCTCGTGATGCCCAGACGGCGATGTACGGATCCTACAATACAATGCACACGACAACTTTGCCTCCCTCTGCACTACTTTTACAGTCTCAGGCACCGGGCCACTCAATGCTCAAGACAGGTGTGGACCGGGTTCCGGGTGCATCTTCACCTGCTCCAAATCTTCAACAAGTTTTAATTCAGCAGTTGCTTCAACGTGTGGAACAGCCGCAGCAACAAACTGCCCCACCACAGCCACAAATCGATCCAATCTACGCAGGCAATCAGTATACACAATCACTTGTCCAACTTTTAGCAGCTTTGAATGCCACAGCTCCAGATCAGGTACGGTTTATTGACTAATACCGAATTGAAAACTTGAAGTAGTCT